TTTTTTGAAGCATTTGAAGCTCTGAAACATTTTAGCAAACTCACATAAAAATATATTGAAGGAGGGTTTACATTTTTTCCATTTACAAGTATGGATATGATATTTACCCATCAATAAAACAAAATTTACAACATCAGAGAAGGATGAATTTAAATCACACTTAAAAAAAGAGGACATCTTGTTGGGTTATAGGAGGAATTGTCTCCATTTTTAATGACAACCAGCTATGTATATCGAACCAAAACCAATGATTTCCCCATGCACTGCTTGTCTCATAGAAAACTTATGAGTGAGCATCGCTGCAGCCCAATAGGAATCCTATGGTGTGCACATGACACGCAGGCTGGGAAGGTAAAAAAAAAAAACATAGAACATTGTTAGATTCTGTACTGGTTCATGAATTAACATTTATAGGGAGAGAAGGAAAGGGTTTTAACTACATGATGACAATATGAAGCCTAATTCTCATCCTAACCATTAAACAAGATTTAACCTTAAATTATTTGGTGACATAAGAAACATCAATGTCTAATAATTAAAACATTATATTATGTAATGTTAGATCAATAGTATTTTATAATAAGTCTCTATATAGAAACATCTTTATTGTCTTGTCCTGTTTTCGGTTCTCATCCTTTGAACCCATTTAAGTGCCTTGTTGCCCCATCATAAAAAGAATGGGGTTACATGTGTTCGTAACTTCCATGTTCAAGGCCCTGGGCTTCAAAGGTCACTGAACCCAGAAGGTGCGGATGACCTCTGGGCTAGTAAAGTGGGCTTGAAAAGTGAATACATATGAGAGGTTAGGATCATTGTTAAAAGCAATTCACTTTAGCTGTTGAGTTAATTAAATGGATGCCTCTCAGAAAGATTAGTCAAAATATAGCTCTAGTTCTGTTTGCGATTTAGTAAGATAAAGAGCTTTATTATAAAGACATTCCATCTTCACTTAAAGGGGTCCTATTATGCTCTTTTACAAAGTCTTGATTTTGTTTTGGGGGTGTACTAGAACAGGCTCTCATACTAGGTTGTTTGAAAAACACATTATTTTTCACATATTTTACATTATTACAACACCTCTCTCCCCAGTCTGGCATGAACG